GAAATATGTTTGGAAGCAGTAAGAGTAAATTCACATTACTAAATTAAGCCAATCTGGAAAGACTGTACCATTATGATCCCAAGTCATCTGACAGTCCAGAAAAGGCAAAACCATAGAGGCAGTAAAGAAATGGTGGTTGTCAGAAGTTCAGGGTCAGGACTGGGAGGTGAAGCTGAATAGTTGAGGCCAATGATTTGATTTTTTTGTTTTGTCTTTTTCTGCCTGTGTCTTTTGAGATAGGGTTCCTCTATGTAGTTCAGGCTGACCTTGAACTTATTTTGTAGCCCTAGCAGGCCTTGAACTTGTGGCCTCCTATCTCAGCCTCCCAAGTACTGGGATTACAGGTATGTGCCACCATGTCCATCCTGGAGATTTCTTTAGAGAGGTGAAACTGTTGTGTGTGGCACTACAATGACAGCTGCCACTACACATCCGTTAAAGTCCACAGTACATATGATCTGGCCCGCGGATCAATCCGTGGGGTGTACCTGGAGGGAGAACGGGGATTAAATAAACACATGGGGGAGACAGAGAGAGACTGAGGCAAGTTGAGAGAGTCCAATCAAGCCCCATTTATTCCGGAAGTGATTACATCTTTTATAGGCCAAGAGCGGGTTGGTAGGACAGGAAGAGGCTACGGGCATAAATACAACAGGGTCATCGTCACATCCATGTATGTGACGTAAGCAGGAGAGGATTATGGTTAATGTAGGCAGGCACATTGTGCCCATAGGAGAGAGAGAGAGGCAGGGAGGCAGCCATGAGGCTGTCGTGTGGCTCCCTACATATATACAATACCAAGAGTGAACCTTGGTGAATAGTTTTTTAATAGATCATTTATGAGGCTAGGGATTTCTAGGTGGAACACATAATGTGATATTTCAATCTAACTATGTACAAAATGAGTGAGACAACCCCACTAGAGAAAGTCAGGGGCTAGCACAAAATGGAGAATCTTGAAGACCAAAGATGGAGGGAATGGAACGTAATCACTGTAGTGTAATTGATGAGTTTGCTTTCTTCAAAAGTACAGCTTCACATACAGATAAGACTGTGCCTGTGCAACAGATGTATGTGTCCCCACAGGTCAGTACAGGCATGTGCATCTCCTTATGTGGTCTGCTAAGAGTCTCAGTGACCAAAGAGCATACCCAGACCAGATCTTGGCTTCCAAAACCACTTTCTAATACAGAGATCAGGATTTAAAGAAATGGCCGAGTCTAGGAAAAGGGTAACAAATATACTGGATGACTGCAGGACATCACAAAGTACCAAAAAGTAAGAAAATTTGGTGGTGGGGGGGTAGGTTGTATCAAAGGGATATGGGAGCCAACTGACAGAGATCTCAGTGGTGGCTAAAGCAGGAGCAATCCTAGTAACTAAAGGACCACAGATTATAATTCAAAGTATAATATAAACATACACAGATATTGAATGCAGATGTCTTGTGCTCTGGGTGAATGATTTGGGAATGACAGTGCACAATGTATGTATCATTGTTGACTCCCAACTGATGTGTTTTGAAATTTTTTACATATATATTTCTCTTTGAAATAAAATAGATTTGAATATACACACACACACACACACACACACACACACACACACACACACAGGTACCTAATGATATAAACAAGCAATTTTCAGCATTCAGATTTTTTTTTTTTGAGACAGGTTCTCACTATGCAGTTCAGGCTGGTCTTGAACTCACTATTTAGCCCAGGCTGGCCTTGTACTCGCAGCATACAGATTTATAGTTAAGTGTTTTCCATGTTCATAATTGTTTATTTAATTTCAGTATCCAATCAGTTATTGATAATGTGTAGGTATAATTAATTTTGTATTTTGACTGTATCATGATGCCATGCTGAACTCAGTTTTTAGTCCTAAGAAACTTTTTGTAGTTTCTATGGATCTTCTACCTCAATAATCATGTCTCCAATGACCATTCTATGTCTTGTCTACTGCATGCTTTGTATTTCTTTTTCTTACCCTATTATGGGAGCCAGGACTTTATATATAATAATGGATATATGTTGGAAACAGATAACTTTCCCTTTTTTCTGGTCTTAAGGGCAAAATATTGACCTTCACTATTAAGAGTGATGTTAGTTTTGAATTTTGTCATCAATTCCCTTTATCATGTTAAGAGGGTTTCCTTGTATTTCTAATTAACTGAGAGTTTTAAAGATTATTATTATTGTTTTGTTTTTTTGAGACAGGGTCTATGTGGTTTAAACTCACTGTGTAGCCCAGGCTGTCCTCAAACTCAACACAATCCTCTTGTCTTAGCCTCCCAAGTGCTGGGATTACAGGTGTGTGCACTATGCCCAGCTAGAGGGTTTTAAATTATGAATGGATATTTAATTTCATCAAATGTCTTTGTGTGTTTATTGCTATGATCATGTGTTTTTATTCTTTCATTTAGTGATATTGTAGATATCAGATGTTGAATCAAGCAAGTCTGGGATTTGGGAGGATACTCCACATCACCTTGACGCATCCTCTTCTCTCTCTCCATCTCTTTCTTCTATCTCTCTTTGTCTCTGTCTCTATCACTGTCTCTGTCTCTGTCTCTCTCTCTCTCTCTCTCTCTCTCTCTCTCTATATATATATATATATATATATATATGCTAATCAAATTCCAATATATACATATTTAGCTACATATATTTTGTTTAGAAATTTTTTTGTCCATTTTTATGAGGAATATTGTTCTAGAAGAAAAGTCTTTTCTTGTATTATCTTTTTCAAGTTTTGCTATCAGTATAATACTAGCCTATAAAATGAGTTACAAAATATTTTCTCTTCTGTGTAGAATTGTATTCTTCTGTTTCCTTTTCTGTCTTCCTTTGAATTATTGAAGGGCTTTTAGGATTTAATCTTAATTTACATAATGATGTGGAGCTGTTTCTTTGTATAATATTTTTAGTGACTATTATTTAAATTATGGTAACATCCAATCTTAGACTTTTTTTCATACTGGAGATCAAACTCATGACCTCATGCTTGCCAAATAGATGCTTACACAGCTGAGCTAAATCCCCCACCCTTCTTAGACATTTTTACATTTCATGTAAAATTCTTATTTTCTTCATTTTATACTATAATTGTCATATGTAAAGTGCTATACTTTTTACTTTCTTTTTTTGTGGTAGCACTGGGAATTGAACTCAGGGCCTTGTGCATGCTAGGCAAGCGCTCAGCTAATTTTTGCTTTCAACAGCTACATAGTTGTTGTTGTTGTTGTTTTTTTTTTTTTTTTTTTTTTTTTTTTTGAGGCAAGGTCTTGCTATGTAGTTCAGGCTGACCTTGAACTCACTATGAAGTCCAGGCTGGCCTCAAATTTGTAGTGATCCTCTTGCCTCAGCCTCCCAAGTACTGGGATTATAAGCATATACCACTACACACAGTGTGTGTGTGTGTGTGTGTGTGTGTGTGTGTGTGTGTGCGCGCGCGCTGTTTGTTTGTTTTGTCTTTTAGCACACCTCATGTTTATTTAACCAGATCTTGGCCATTTCTGTTGTCTTTCCTTCATTCTTGAACTTCAGGTTCCCTTAGGAAACCGTCTTCTTTTGCCTTAACAAACTTCTTCTCTAGTTTCTTTTAGATCAGGACTACTGAGGACAGATTCTTTTCATTTTCTCTGAGAACGTCTTCAGTTTGCCTTCATTTCTGAAAGGTACATTTATTGAGCTAACTGGGCTAACACATTTTTCCTTCAGTTTTGAGGTATGCTTCTACTCCTTCCTCTGCTGCATAGCTCCAGGGAGAATCCACAGTCTTCCTCTGTCAAATGTGGCATTCTGCTCTGACTACTTTCAATATTTTAAATAAATTTTGTTTTTTGGCAGTTTGATCGAAATATTTCTGGGTCTGGTTTTCTTTTAACCAATAGTGTATTTGGGGCTGCTTACCTTCTTGAACTAGAAAAATTATCTTTCACTGAATTTGGGGAAATTCCAGTCATTATTTAAAATTTTTTTCCTTCAAGGGATAAAATAGCATAAATTGATATCGTGCTTTTGATATCATCCCCCAGGTCCCTGAAGTTCTATTCAGTTTTTTTCAGTATTTTCCATTCTGTTAGAGTAGCTTCTCTGGGTAGTTTCTCTTGGTCTATTATCAAGTTCACTGGCTCTTTTTCCTGTCATCTCTGATATCAAGCTTATTTGTGGCTTTTCTGGTATTTTTAAAGTAACATGTGATTCTAGAGTACAGAGTACAGATTCTAGAGTACAGAGCTGCTGACTTAACATCTCCAGCCTTCAGTGTCCTCACTTTAAAAAAAAAAAAAAGAAGAAAGCACCTATTTTGCCATCTCCCTGGGACCTGTAGGGGCCTTAAGGAGTGTCATCACTAAGCAGCGGGAAAGCAGATTGTACCAGATCTAGTGCAGAAGGGCAAGCACTCCAGGAGTTCCATTACCAGCCTAAAGGTGGGGATAAGGGTGGTGGTGTTGTGTTTACCAGGAACAAGAACCAGGGGATCTGATGGCAGAGCTTGGCTGTGATCTTGTTCATTACCTGAGGCTATAAAGATGCAGAGCCACAGGCTTTACAAACAGCCCTGCTACAAACTGAAGGCAACAGTCAGGGAAGGGAGGAGACTCTAGGGACAGAGGTCAAAAATCTCATCTTAAAACACATCCTTATACTTAGGACAGTGCACACGTTTCATGGAAGTCCACCTTTATCATACTGCATAGGGCATTTAAGTTAACAAATTCATGAGTTGGGCTGCCTGGAGAGTCACCACTTATAATTACAGTGAGGATCACATGGCTAGACTCAGAACTGCAGTCACATTTGCTGATAGTACTTAGTGGCATCCCAGTAAAACCATGTTTCAATATTAGACAGTTGTGTTAAATGCATGATTCATTGACATTACTTATTTTGTTTACATTTAATATAGTATTATGCATTTTAATACCCTTACATGATACCAGTTAATTTGAGTAGATATTTCAACTAAAGCTAGTTTCTCCTTGTTAACAGAATATACAAGGTATCTCCAAGCAACCAATTCAAATTACTACACCTCAAAAATTTCAAGGTAACACTTTTCTTTCTACTTTTCTAAAATCTCAGGTAGCATCTTTTTAAAATCTGGAAGTATTTGAAACTGCTTTTCTGTGCAACTGCTTTGCTTTCCTAGTTACTCTCTTTATTTGTGTGACTAGGATTTAAATATACATTGAAAAAGTAAAAACAGCTGCAGTGATATGGTACATCCCTTTCAGCAGTTTACAAGTTAAAATAGACAATAATTATACCAGGGAAGTACATCCCCTCCTACTAACTTCCCAATAAAAAAAAAAAAACCACGAGTATACAATAGCACTGGCTTTTATTAAAGTCTGAATATTGTTGGAAATGTTTATAAAAACACACCAACGTCCTTTCTTTTGAGCTATCCCACTGTAATCTTGATAGTCACATTTCTGAAAGAGGAAAAGTTCACATTTTACAAAGCAGTACCATATCAGCCATTCCCCATAACTATCTGCATCAAGGCCACCCTTGGGGCTGCGCAGGAGGGCACAGAAACACCCCAAGGCACCTTTTCTAAACACATGTGGGCACCCTTAGCACCCAGGAAGGTGGCCCTGCCACTCTGTCTCCTACCACCCCTTCATGATCTGTCCCTGGGAGATCCTAGCTGCACTTTGCATTCTGCTAGTCAGCAAGGCTTTCACTGGAGTGGTCAGGTGTTAATCTTTGCCTTTTTCCTTTCTTTGTCAAGAATTCTAGACATAACTGAAAGTTGTAATAGCAAAAAACCTTCACTAGATTTTAATAATGTTATTTTAAGTTACATTAATAGAAATCACAAAAAAAAATCTAGACTCTTGATTTTGGATGACATTAAAATAGCTTTGTATTGAGGAACAGCTGCAAGCCAGCTCCTGACCACACTCACCACATGCTCTTGAAATGACATCCAGGTAAAGAAGACAAGATTCTCATGATCTCCCCCAGAGACCTGTTTGTGTCCTCCAAAGGCCACACCTTCCTGGCAGCAGGTATGTACAAGCCTTGGAGGAGGGAGGCCCCCAGTCCCTGTGGCTCACTTTTAGCATTTCCATGCAACTCAAATAGTTACAATAGAATAACTCAAAGGCACTTATAGAGCTCATTCTTTCAAAAAAATCCTAAGACAAATACTTATTTGAAACAAAGCTTTCCTATGCACAACACATAATAACAGATTTTTGGCTCCAGTGTCCCCTTGCTTTGCCTTGTTTAGTTCCCACATACCCCTGTGGCTCATTTGATCTGTGCATCTCCTCCTTGGCCCTCATCACTGTTTCCTCCCCTTGCTCACTTACTGGCCTTACCAAATAATTTATTCCAATTCTCTGTCTCCGCTTGCTAGGATTTAAACTCCATGGGGAAAGAGAATTTTGTCTTTTGTTCAGTACACAATCCAGGCACATAGCCTGGCACCTCTAATTCCTAAAGTTGTGATGTATAGAATGGATGAATGCACAAATCGGTGAACACCACCCACACTGGAGGTGTTGTTGGTCTGGAAGGAGGCAAAGGGGATCTTTGAAACTGTCTAATAACTGTGCCCTGAGGCTAGAGGAGCTGGGCACAAGGGAGAGGAGCGCGCCTCAGAGTAGGCTGGGCCAGAGCAACAGTGGGCAGCTGGTGAGACTGGCATTAACACAGAGCTGTCTAACAGACTTTTCACAGATTGAATTGCGCATTCTTGCACATTTATCTGGGGATCCAGAACTTCTGAAGTTATTCCAGGAATCTGAAAGAGATGATGTATTTTCTACCCTGACTTCACAGTGGTAAGATAATAAGCCACAATATTGTCAGATCTACAGGAATGCTAACATGATGTTACAAGTCTGAAGTTATTCCAACACTATTTTCATAAGAAAAAATTAAATTTTTCTCTAGTAGTTAATCATTTTGAAAAGGATAGAGGGCTAAGATGCCAAGAGTTTCCTAATTACTAGCAGGTTGATGGCTGTTCCCCACTGACAAGGAACAGGATAGGAATGCTGGGAAAATAAGTGTGCTTTACACTTCAGGAAAAGGGAGCCCACGTGCTGGTCCTACAAGCAGCTGACTCTATAAAGGAGGGCGAATGTCCTCTGTGTTCCCTTCCCCAGTCAGTACTGGACTGTAGATGGCAATCCCAGTCCAAGCAGGGGCTCTGCAGAGGCAGGCAGCCTTGGAAGCAGCTCTGCCACAGGAGGCCCCACTTTCTGTTCGCATTACTGTGGCTTTTCCTCCTCCTGGTGGAGGACCTGCCAGTGGCTGCAGGTAGGTAGAGAGGACATGTGCAGGGTTCTACTCTCCAGAGCTCTCTGTGGCATATTTTGCACCCACTTGCAGAGCAGTGGTGCTGTTGTACTTAAGGAAGCTGACATAGCTACACTCTGAAAAGGAAAACCTGTTGATTCTGGCTTCCCTGGGCCATCAGATGCTCACTTGGGCCAGCTAGCCACTGCCCACACAAAGTCAGGATTTGTTGTAAGGAAGAGGAGGGTCAGCTGTTGGAAGGTCGCTAGCCACCCTGGGCAGCTGCAGGTACCATCTGCCACTCCCATTGGGCCTCTCCCTCAGACGTTTCCTGCAGCCCTTCTCCTTCCTACCTCATCTGTTGCCTGCTTGCCCTGCGGAATCACTGGGAACAGCACTTCAGAAACACTCTCTTGCCCACACAGGGCCCAGCTTTCTCCTGCCCTTGAGCTCAGGAATTCTGCGGACAAGTCCTCAGGGGTCCTGCCAAACCCAGTCCTGACCTTTCCCAATGCTGCTGCTGCTGTCCAGTTCCCAGTCACCCACTACACAACTACCCTGGGCCCTGCTGTGCCCACCAAGCCTGGGGCTCACAGAGGATGTGTCAGATACATGAGTGGATATGCAGAGTTCAGGTTTCCCTGTGCTCACCAAAATGCCACCACCAGAAGACTCATTTGAATAATAAAATTCAGGAACTATTTTATGTAAAATAACAGGACTTGAGAACTTTATTATGCTTATACTCCAAGCTGAAGAGTGGATAGTTGTAGAAAGTGTGTTTGATGGTGACTGTAGAATGTGTCATCCCAGCACCTTCTGACTGTTCATTCATGGTCTAGGGATGGAGCAGTGGATAGTGAAGACACTTATGGACTCTCTTGTGCCTCTGCTTAGCACCAAGAATCACCCAATGCTCATTAGCCTTCTATCTGCTTGCTGGTCTCTATCCCTGCATGTTCTCCACTACCACCTTCCCATCTCATAGCCCACATGCTGAGAAAGTCATGAAGTGGGGCAGTTGAGTCCCAAGAAGCAAGTTATCCAACTCAAGAGTGGTCTGGAATATCGTCACTTCTGAGTCTCATCAGCTACTCTTAACACTGTTGATTGTTCCACAGTGTCCACTTCTTTCAGTCCTGAAAGATGTCTTCCCCTAAATAAGGCTCCCAAACACCCTTCTGCTATGCCTCTGTTCTCCACGTTCTCTTCCCACCATCCCACAGCTCATGTTTCAAAGACAATAAGAGCAACTTTATTTTTAAGAAACCAATGTCTTGGCAACCACAAACTACCAAAACCTAACTAAAATGAATTAATCTGAATATTCCTGTAACTATTAAAGAAATTCAAATGGCAACTTGAAAGCTCCTGAAAAAGGAATCCCCAGGCCCAGATGGTGTCATTTGAGAATTTTAGTAAACATCTAAACAAAAATCATTATCAGTTTTATACAATCTTTTCCCAAAACTAGAAAAGAATCACTTACCCATTTGTTCTATGAATTCATTCAGCGTAAACCCTGATGCTAAAACCAGATAATCAAAAAATAACACAAAACTACAGATCAATATTACTCACAAATTGAAGTGCAGAAATCTTCCACAGAGTATTAGTAAACCAAATCCAACAATATATAAAAAGTTGCATACCACATGTAAGCTAATTGATCAATGTACTCTATCACATTAAGCTTAAGAACAAAAAATAGCATTGCATTAATTGATCCAGACAAAGCTTTTGACAAATTCAACACCAATCATGATAAAAATAATTCTCACCAATTTAGGAATAGTTGGAAAAAAACATAATTAGATGAAGAACATATTTGTTTAAAAAAAAAAAAGCAGCCAACTGCATAATTAAGAGGGAAGAGCACAATGCTTTTCTCCTGGGACCAGGAATAACTTATTAATATTGAGTATTAAAAGTTTAGTCACTCCAAAAAAAAAAAAGTTTGGTCACTCCAAAAAATAAGGAAAATAAACACATGCATATAAATTGGAAAGGTGGAAATAAAACTATTTACAGATGAAATGATTGTCTATGTAGAAAATCCCAAAGAATGTATGAATTTTTTTTAAATTCTAGAACTCATAAATGAGTTCAACAAGATCCAAGATCAAAACACAAAAAAGATCACATTTCTATAAACTGACAGTGAACATGCAGAGAATGAAATTTAAAACATAATGCCATTTTTAATCACTTCAAAGAGGATGAAATATGATAGCCCTTGGTTTACAATTTCGATTTCAATTTTTTAAACTTTAATATAGTGCAAAAACCATGTGCTTATAGTGGGAACTGCACTTCAAATTTTGAGCTTTAAAATCTTACTAACCTGCTGGTCTGTGGTATGGCTCTCTCCACGTGGTCAGTGCAGGAAGCCACAGCTCCTGGTCAGCCCTGTGGTCATGGGGCAAAGAACCAACATTCACAGTGTGCTGTGTTGCTGAGATAGGGTGTTCAGCAGGTCAGACGTATGAGGACCTCACACTCAGTGGGTCAGACATTCTGCACTTACTGTGTCCAACCTGCTGTCTTCAGCACACCCCACCCACTCAGCACTCTAATTATGCAATACAGCACCCTATGGAATAGCTACTGTGGACTGCAGGATGGTTCTTCCTCTCCAGTCATCATGCAGTTTGTTTCTTTTCTTATAATATTTTCCATTTATAATGGAAATAATGTAGATATAATGTAGGATATAATGTAGTTGTGAGTCTATGAGTTACTTGTGCTTAAATGTCCAGCTAACAAAATATGTACAGGATTTTATGCCTAAAATTTCAAAATGCTGATAAAGAAATCAGACGTCTAATAAATTGAGAGATGTACTATAATTATGATATGGAAAGTTCAATTTACAAATGTGTCAGTTTCCCTTAATTCAGAGGTTTATAATGCTGTCTGTATTAAAACTGAGACATGGGTGTTTATATAACAGAGATGTTTATTCTAAAATATGGATGAAAAGGCACAGACTCTAGAAGAGCTAAAACAATCTTGGTGAATAATAAACTGGTAGGAATCACTGCCTTATACTAAGATTTAATATATAGCAATCAAGAGACTGAAGTTGGCAGAAGGACAGACATGGATCAATGGAACAGAAAAGAGAAACCAGAAATGGATCCACACAAATGTGCTCAGCTCAGCTGATTTTTTTAAACAAAGGTATAATGTATGAGACAGAAAATAATTCCCTTCAGATTCATGTCAAGCTGGTCACACATAAAAACTGATACTCAAGCTTCATGTCTACATTGGATAGTATAGTATCTGTCTTTCCTACATTTTATTAGGTTGTATTAGTTTTTGGAAGAACTTCAAAAGTAAGTAGCTTTGCTTCTAATTCCCTACCAGCAATAGTAATCCAACATTTGTGACTTACACTATAATTAGTTGCTGTAGAAATGAATTTTATGTTCCAAACAGAGGACTAGAATAGCACATGATAAAAAAGTAGATCAAATGCACTTCAAAATGTTTGTTCTCTATAAATTCCTTATTGTTTAAAACCAAAAAAGCAGAAAGGCAAATATTCTAAAGTATTTAGTAACATTTTCAAAGAATAACAATTCCCTTGAAGACCCTTTAGTGATATATAAGAGGAGGTTTGGAAGATGCCGCAACCCAGTGTGGCTCCTGAGGTTCTTGGGGTTAATGACTGGTGAGAGGATGAGAAAAATAAAGAACAGACAAAGCTGGGGTCAGGTGGAGCCCTTATCCTCCTGATGGGAGCAAAGGAACTGCTCAACCACTGTAGCACCTTTATTTATATACTGGGAAAGATGATGTCAATTTCAGCCCCTCTGCCTAGCAACCCATTGCTTTGCAGGCCTGGGCCCCTTGCCTTCTTGGTGCTGGAACACCCTATTTACACAGCTTTTTTTGGTCTTTTTGTTTTTTCTGGGCTAGCCTTGCTTTAGCCCCCACACATGTGATCAATCTCCAGCTTCAAGAGCTCCTGACAGGAAGAAACGTTGGAAATATGTGAAGCTGCACTTTGACAGACCTGCACCTGAGCTGGAAAGCCAGAGCACTGGAGAGCTGGGCCTGGCATCCTGGAGCCCAGAGCCTGTCTCCTGCGTTTGGCTTCCAGGACGCAGGGAAGGTGCAACTCTCCACATCACTGCTCATTGTGACCCCAGACACCACCATCATTCTTTGCAGTCACCTTTGTGTCTTCACCTTTGCCTCATTAGAGGTTTCCTAAATGTTTTACAAAATGCAGAATAAAAACATTCCTCACTGACTATGCATTCAACTCACCATTTTCAGACTGAAATTTAAAGAAAAAGCTAATCACTGCAGAATACATTTGTTTTTCTTCTGCCTAAAGCATTGAGTGCTTCTCTGAGATAGTTTCTGATAAAAATAAATCAGTAAAACTGTTTATATTTCCAGATGACATGATTGCCCATAGAAAATGCCAACAAATATATAAGAACAATAGGAAAGCTTGAAAGGTAGTACTGTTGGCTGCAGCTCCCCAGCTTGGTATCAGGCTGGCCCTGTGACTTGCTGTGGATTGGAAACGTGACACATGTCACTCCTAAGCAGAGACTCCAAGAAAGTGCCTGTGATCCCTCTTGGTCACTCTTCCCTCTTGCAATAACTGGCAAAAGTATCGAGAGAAACTGTTCCATCATCTTGCATTATAAATGGGGGCTAACCTGTGAGGGATACAGCAAGGCTGGGAGATACTGCAAGGAAACAAGATTCTGAGGTGACCTTGCTATCACGGCACCTCAGGTCCATGCCATAGAGACCACTTTAACAAATCTTAAAATGTAGCCAGCATGGAGGGCCTGTGAGAGGATGTCTGTTGAAGGTTGGAAGATGGCCTTTGTGAAACTTACTGGGGTCCCCTGCAGGGAGCCTCTAGTCTCCTGCAATGTGTTAGAGGAAATGGCAGCAAGAGAGAAAGGAAGGGGGCTGGAGGTTTAGCTCAGTGGCATAAGCGCTTTCCTTGCAAGCAGGCAGTCGTGAGTTCCATCCCCAGTACCGATAAAAAGGAAAAAGACAAAAAAAAAAAAAAAAAAAAAAAAAGAGACAAAGGAAGAGCAAGGACAAAATGGCAGTGCAGCAGGGATCCGAGATGACCAGCTGTTCATGAGGAATAGAAGGCAGCTAGCACCTTGGCATTTTTTTGATGGAGGAGGGGATTTTGAAGTGACTCAGAGGCAGAGGCAATTTTATGCTAAGAAGGATCTTGCCTTCCAGTAACATTTATTCTTAGTGGTTTTAGTTTTAGTACTTGAGGTGAGAGGAGGTGGTCCACCACTAAAGAGATAATGGGAGATCTCAAAAGAGTGACACTGATAATCCCAAACCTCGGTTTATCCTTTAGGGAATATGCAAAATTAGCCATTGTGAATTTGTGGTCCCCAACAGAAACTGTCACCCATGATAACTTGTGAGGCAGGAAATAGTCCTAATGAGCTGTGGCTCTGGGCAGAGCTAGGCCAACAGAATGCCTGAACATGCTTTGATTGTCATTGTCTACATGTGACCAGATACTGTAAGGAAGGGACAACCCAGAAAGGAAATGGCCCATGTACAAGTAGGAATCCAGAGAGTTGGAGTCTTGCACGTTGAATGAATCAATGATTCTCAATCCAACTAATGAAAAATAAGCTCAAAAATGCTGTGAATAAGAACACACAACTCAAAATCATGGCCTTGATGCCCGCTGCTCACCTGTGAGAGGAGTTAGGGGTGGCTCTGGAAAGAAGAGAAGAGAGTGACAAATTGTGGGTCTCTCGCACACTGCCAGTAGTTTAAGGTCATGATGCACCTGGGTCTGGAGAGAGGTCAGATCTCTAAATGAGTGGTGGGGCTGACTAAAGTCAGGTGGGAAGAGCTGACCACATTTCTGAGAGCTGAAATTCTCACAGAGCCACCACTCTGAGCTAAAATACTCTACAGTCATTTGAAACTTAAAGTAACTTAGGTCCTCAGTCTTCCATAGGCAAGAAGCAGTGTGGCAACTGTGCTGACCACAAGGAAAGCAACTTCTCCACCATCCTTAGCTTCTACATAGAGCCAAGAAGAGTAATGAGAAGAAAGTCCTAGCAAGAGAAGCAAGTAGCCAAGGAGAACAACAGACTGGGGAGATACTCCCATGGGACCAAATTCAGGGCCTAATCAAGGGCTGGCTAAGCCCTGGAGAAAGGCCATCAGCACCAACCCAGTGAGAATCCAAATGTTTCAGGGGCCAGTGATACATTTCTCTGTTCTGTTCTTCCTTATCCAAATGGATGTCTATTACAGCTGTCCTGTGCCTGTCCCTGACTGTACAGCACATGTGCAGCAGCAGACAGGCTTGCCCTGTTAATTCATTGGAGCCCACATCAAGACCTGACAAAAGGAGGATCAGTGTCCTGGACTTTGGGTCAGTGCCATACCAAAGTAAGTCTCGGAATAATGTTAATGGAAGAGGAGCAATGTGAATGAAAGAGCTGTGGTTCATCTGATCACTCAAGAAAGAAAGAGAATACAATACAGGCAAATAAACATCAAAAGCCAAGGTAAAAGAGTAAACTCAACAGTTCTGATAAATGATTAGCATAAATAAACTGAAAATCCCAGCTAAAAGGCACAAATCATAAATATGTATAATTATGATATTGTAAAAAGCTAAAATAAAATGTTTATTTTTAATTTTATTAATAAAATTATTTTTAAATATGAAAAAATTTTTTCAGATTAAACAGAAAGATAAGACCCAGTTATTATAAGAACCTGCTACAAGACCCTATAAATATAAATATAAAATGTTAAACATAAAAAATTGGAGTACTAGATTAATATCAAAGTAAATTTCAAAGTGAAATGTTGCTAAAGATAAAAAGGATATTTCATGATGATAAAAAAAAAACCAACTCATTAGGCAGTTATAACAGTCTTCAACTGGAAATCACCTAATAAAAACAACTTTAAAATGTTTGAGCTAGAACTTGAAACCAAAGAAAGACATAGAGTGTATATTTCATTATTTGCTCTCTGAAAAATACATACCAATTTTTTGAAGGGGAAATTGATTTTCAAATTAACCTTTTTTTAAATACATGCATTTAGAGTGCCAAATCATATGCCTTTGATTATTGTTATTTTAGAATACCACTTATGGTCTGGCGTCCAGCTACTTGCATTTTTAAATGCTGGATCAGCACAGTCATTGCTACCCAGACCCTATGGAGCACTCTAGGAAGAAAGTGCTGCTGTAGTTATTAACCGTAGCAGACACCTCAAGCAAGATGAGGTTTATTTTCCCCTAAATAGTATTACTTAATCATTCAGATTCTTCTATTAAAAAGTCAGCTGTATCCTGGCAGCTTTCCTCCCTCCTGATATTCCTGTAAACATTCATGACTTTACACTAGTTTGGTCTGTGAGCCCTCAGAGTGCTGATGTTGCAGCTTCTCCAGAGCAGCACAATGCAAACACGTACAGGCCAGCAGAGCACCACCTCTGCCAGCAGCATGGTCCCCTGGGGGCCACAGCCAACCATTTCTTCCTTATCCCAGAGGGAAAATCCTTACATGTTCAAGACCATGGCCCTGTTGCTGCTTCCCAAGGAAGTTTTATAGATCACTGTGCCACTGGCAGGGCAAGGGTTGTGTGAAACACAAGGCTCTGGTCCCGCATAAGCCTCCCTGGCCAGTAAAGATGGAGCATTGCATAGCATGGCATCCGTGCCTTCCGTAAAGAGCTGGAAGAGTAACTATGACAGACACCTTTCAGGTGTTCTTAACTTGGAGTGAACTACAATACGTATGGTGCAATGAGCAATTTACAGTGAAGATGGAATGATTTAGGGGAAAACACAATCTCTGAATTTGCATTTTTGTTCTGACCGCCTGGTAGATATCCTTCCTCCTATTCCCAGGAGAGTTCTCTCCTTTCTTGTTTGCTTTCCATCCCGTTAGCAATAAAAGTAAGTATATTCGTTCCTTACTCTATGCCCATTGCATTCAGTATCAACAAACCTAGGATGTCCCTCTTCCCCATCAATGGGTGAAGGAACAGAAGTGATTGTTAGTATGGATGAGCAAACAGAGGGACCAAGAGCCAGGTCCCTCATCCAATTTGTTCTGGAGCCTGTGCTCTAAGTACTTTGGAAGCCCCTGGTTTAGGATCATGATATGCAGAGCAAAGAGGGGACCTTCAGGAATTTCAGCTGGGACTTTAAAAGAATTTAAGAGGGGACTATTTGGAGAATCTCCAAGGGCAGTGGGAGGTCCAGGAATAGACCAGTGGGAGCCACAGAGAAATGCCAAGAAATCACCCTGCTCCTCAGTACCTTCACAGAGACCCCATCTTGCCCATGTCCTGAGTGTCACCATTGTCACTGTATGTCTAGAAGAGCAACTGCTTGTGTCTGTGGCAGGACCGTGGTGGAGAGCTGGAGGGGAAACATGGCTACTCTGTGTACCTGTGTTCAGCCCATACCCTCCCACTTCCAGCCTCCTCTTCTGCCAGGGTTGTGTGGCTACCACCCCACCGGGCATGTCCCCACCCCCTCCTCTTTCCTAGCTTTCATAATTATGTGAAACTCACTTACCTGTGGATCACCCCTCTCCACTCTCTCTGTTCTTGTAGATTTATGTCTTCCTATCCTTTGCTTTATCGTGGTAGGGCCAGGAGACATGCCACTGTTTACTAGACACCCACCACATGGTTGTCAGCAGGGCTGCCCTTAAATTGCGCTATGCTGCTGGAAGTGAAGGGTTGTGGGGAAGAAAGCAAGAGCTGTTTGTTGCAGTCATCCATGGAGCAGATGGTAGGGGTGACCGTGGGGTGATGCAGATTCAGTGACACTAGGAGGCGGTGCTGAGGGGAATAGGGAGATGTGGGAGTGTAGGTGCCACCAAGGACAGCCATGAGGTGTGAGTCTGAGAATCTGGTGGAGCCTCTGCACATCGGCAAGGAGATGCCAAGCAGATCACCACTTTGATCAGACTGGCATTCAGCAGCTCAGGGCAGGCAGACCCTCACCAAGTGGCAGTGACTGTCAGGTGGGATACCTGTGTGCACCCCACCACATACACTTCTAAAGGGGCAGTGTGATTCTCCTAGCACAGCCTCAAGCCAGCCATCTGGTGTGCAGCACCTGCAGTGGCAGTGAGGGCAGACTCTGGCTGAAACACACACAAGCAGCAGGGTCCCTGGCTCCACGGCCTCTGGTCCTAATCTACCCATCGGTGACTTCCTCTTCTAGCCACAGACTCAACTGTCATAACTCATGTGGTCTGAT